CTAAAACCTGTACATGGGGGATACTGTTTTACTCGGGAGACTTCGCTGAACACAAATATTAGTGATTCAAAACAGTAAAACATATCACAGCGATGATATTGTCAGTGAAAGTGACTTTTTTTTGCATTTTTCACACACAAACAGCACTTTTACTGATGATATAATTGTTGTGATACGTTTTTCAGTTTTTAAACACTAATATTTGTGTTCAGCGATGTCTCCCGAGTAAAACAGTACCCCCCATGTACAGGTTTTATAGCATTTTTGAAAGTTACAAGGTCAAATATATGGGTCAAATATTTTACATTGAAAATGGCCAGGTTGGTTACGTTGCCTTTGAGAGCGTATGGTAGCCCAGGAATGAGAATTACCCCATGATGGCATACCATTTGCAAAAGAAGACAACCCAAGGTATTGCAAATGGGGTATGTCCAGTCTTTTTTAGTAACCACTTGGTCACAAACACTGGCCAAAATTAGCGTTCAATTTAGTTTTTTTACTTTTTCACACACAAACAAATATGAATGCTTACTTTGGCCAGTGTTTTCGACTAAGTGGCTACTAAAAAAGACTGGACATACCCCATATTGAATACCCTGGGTTGTCTACTTTTAAAAAAAATATGTACATGTGGGGTGTTATTCAGAGATTTATGACAGATAATAGTGTTACAATGTCACTATTGATAAATTTTAAAAATGTATGTTTTGAAACCGCAATATCCTGCTTGTACCTATAGCCCTATAACATGCAAAAAAAAGCAAAAAAGCACGTAAACACTGGGTATTTTTAAACTCAGGACAAAATTTTGAATCTATTTAGCAGTTTTTTTCATTCGCTTTTGTAGATGAGTAAAAGATTTTTCAAGTAAAAGTCAAAAACCATGTATTTTTTTCAATTTTTCATCATATTTTTTTTATTTTTTTTAAATTAAAATACATGAGATTATATAAATAATGGTATGTAAAGAAAGCCCCTTTTGTCCTGAAAAAACAATATATAATTTGTATGGGAACAGTAAATGAGAGAGCGGAAAATTCCAGCCAAACACAAACACCACAAAAGTGTAAAAATATGCCTGGTCGCAAATGTACAACATCGCAAAAACAGTCCAGTCCTTAAGGGGTTAAACTGTGTAATATTATTGTCCTTAAACCAATTTTGCTACACTAACATCTAAAATGTAATCAGAGAACCTTCTTAAACTTTAGGTAACGGTTATGCAAACAGGAAATAATGCATGAAAAAATACTTTTCTCAGGTCTTCATTATGGATTTGAAGTTCTGTTGACAGAATTCTTCTTAACCTGAAAAATCTCTAAATATAAAATTGTATGGGCTGCTTTGCTGTGAATGCATAATTCTACTACAAAAGCATCAGTTGGACTTTGATCTGGCACATGTTACAAATTAAATATTAATAGCACAATATAACCTGTCTTTTGAATGTTCTTACAATTTCTATTTTTTTTCGGTTGCCTTTATATTTTGCTTTTCTTATAAGTATGTACGGTGTTTCCGTGTTAGTTATTTAGTAAAATAATCCCCTTTGCTTTGTAATTTATCTTTAAAAAAAAAAAAGCCTGTTTATATACAGACTCCATCGCTTAAATATACGTTTTTAAATAATAGTTGATCTATATTATTTGTCATACTAAAATGTTATGATATGTTATGAATTTTATAAATAGATTTCCTAGGTTTGCACATGGAAAAATGCACCACTATTACAAAGTTCTGTATTGGAAATGTTTGGAAAGGACCAGTTTTAGCAATTTGCCATATTTTTAACATAGCGTGATATATTTGTAGAACAGAACAATTTAAACCAATGCATGACATATGGCAAAGAACATCTGAGATGTATGGCTCCAACAATATCCAGAATTAACATTTCATCAGTTTGCAGATTTTTCACTCACGTGAAGTTTAAAAAAAAAAAAAAGTTAAGGTTAAAAAAAAAAGTTAAGTTGGGGGGCGGAGCCTGGCTTCCAGGCTGCATGGACGTGCTGAAACAGAGCTCCTGAGCATAATGGCACGATTCGGGGCAAAGACCCCAATAAAACTGCACGCACAGCACCTGGAGAGTGACAGCATAGTCGGGGACACCCGGGCAAAACGATTGATACCAGTCATTAACCCGCTACTTACCGGGAACCGGCACCAGCACCAAGAGGCCTACTCGAGACCCTGTAGGGGAGAGGCGGCCGCTCTCCTCGCAGGCGACCCTGCACATAGAACCTCCACGATACTCATCTCCTACCCCCCCCCCTCTGGACCGGCGGGGGTTATCCCGGTCCGCACAGTGTGTTCGGAGACACCAGCTACCCGGAGACGCGAACAGAAGATAAAGCAGTGCTGGCGCTCACACAGCTCCCCCAAGATGGCGGCCGTCACCACGCTGCCTGCACTGAATCAGCTACAGCATACGACGATCCTACAAGACACCGCACAGCGCCTGAATATTCAGCCGCTTCTGGGCACAACTCAGAGACCGCATGAGAGCAGCACAAATCATTCAGAAACCTGCACGGATGGCAGGTAAGAGAGGCAGCTGGCGGCGGGGACAGGGAAGTGTACCCTTGGGCACAGCGACAGGTGACCCACACACCCCCAAACCACAGAGCCCACCCGGGCTGAAGGCCAAAAGGGAGAAGACCCGGACGCATCGCCCACACGCAAGGAGGCTTTATCGCCGCAAGCGGCCAAAGCCCATCAGGCCCTCCATTGCCCCCGTCAGGGGAAGAAACTCAGGCTCCAGTAGTTGCAGAGTTTGTGGCACCGAGATGCAGGCCTACATAACAGCATGGGGCTGGAAGGATATCTTCACACTGCCCACCGCTGCTGCAGCCTTCAACACCACACCAACCAATGCTCACTGTTTCACAAGAGACGGCATCGGCTAATAGAGACTCTCTACACAAAGTCTCTGGACAGGTCAGCACCAGGCCCATAATCCCTCAGTTTAAGCCTGTTAAACTAGGTGTCCAGGACTGACAACCATGGAGAGCAGAAAGCATAAACACACACAACTCCGAACCACAGTGCTCTACAAGCAAACAGTAATGCTTAATGACGTGCAAATGTTATATTTTCTTTTATGTCTACTGCTATGATCTCTCATCACGCTACCTACACATTATACTTTAAGCGTCAACCATATCATGTCTATGAGTTTGTATAGTGAAGTACCTCTCTTTTAATCGGTAATTTAGACATGTTGTGTTTAACCTATATTTATCTCCACCTAACATTCTGGCCACTTCTCTAAGCACCTCACAAGCCATGGTCACCGCTAGCGATAACCTTTGAACACACACCCTGCAGTAGGTGCCCATATTGAAACGCGAACAACTAAACTCTTCTTGCATTGTTTAGCCCGGCATGTTAGTAGTTAATAGTTTTATGCTTCACATAACCCTGCCGACAAACCATGCCCCAATATACGGCAAAACAAGCCAAGATAAAAACCTGACTTGTAAGCATATAGCAGCTATTTGAGCGACTATTGAAATGATTTAGCTGGTATGTAACCTGCCATAAAGTGCCTGCTGCATTAATACGGCTAATTTAGCATTGTTAAGCTCTAATTGTCGATTGTCATTATTATTTGTCTCCTCTACTTTAACTTAGATACTATAACTGTTTAGTTATAAAAAATATAGAAAAATGTGCATATTCTCATGCCACTGTCTAACATGTATTGATCTTGTTATACGCTGTTGTGGCGTTCGTTGACACCATGTACTCACCTGCACAATAAAAATAAAGAATTAAAAAAAAAAAAAAAGTTAAGTTAAGCAATATTTTTTTTCACTTTGTTTATATACATGTCTATTTTTGTGAATTTGTTATATACTTTGAAAATGTGATGGATTAAAAATAAGAATAAAAATATATAGATCTTTTACCTTTGCTAAACAAACCTTTGCTAAACATAGATCAGATCATTCTGCATTACTAATTACGTATAAAAAAAAACAAAAAAAAACAAATCAACTTCTAACTGCTTAAATAAATAAATAAATGGGACCAGATTTTTTATTTTTTTGCATAGAAATCTCAATGAGACATATGCCGATATTAGTGAAAATATATCACAAAACAGCATTTGAATGAAAAAAGAAACAAATACATTTAAAAAAATCATAAAAAAAAAAAAATCCCCCAAGCAAAACAATTCAAGCCATGCAATATTTTGGCACTGATTATACAGCAGTGCTAAATGTATTCTATTAATTTCCACTACAAATGAAAGCAGAAAATTATTGAAAGGAAATTATCATAAAACGAGCAAACAAACAAACAAAATATGTGAATGCTGGATAAAACATAATGCATATTATTTGTGTTAAATAAACAGCACTCAAAATGTTTCATTTATATTTTAATGTAGGCTGAACAAAGAATTTCGACCTACAATAAATACAACTTTATATATCAGGATGCAATAGTCTATAACGTATTCTCTTGTTTCCAGTGCAAAGGAAAGCTGTAAGGAACATAAAGAAAAATTATCATAAAATAAACAAAGTATGTAGCATAGGGTTTAGCATAGTACATCATAATACATATTATCTAACTTTTTATTTCAATGTATGCTAAATAAAGAATCCCAAATTAAAATGAAATAAAATGGAGCTTTATAAAAAAAAGGGAAAGCTAATATATATATATATATATATATATATATATATATATCTTTTTTTTATGTGTACATATATTATATATATAAATAATGGATTACATTCCTACTCACTTCAGGGAGACTCAGGTATCAGTTGATATTTGGGGCTCCCCTCTGTCAGCTGGGGCCATATTTAGTGGCCTAGACTGACCAATGAGCTGTATGCTGCATTCAAAATGAGCGCTGCACACAGCCCTTAAAATAACCATTGCGATCAGAGAGAAAAATCTCCCTATCATTCTGCATTCACACATTACAGAGTGCTTATAGAATCCTTTTGAGTTACCATTAGGGTTAGAATTAGCAATAGACTCAGTGTAGGGTTAGTGGCAGTGTAGAGTTAGTGTTAGTCTATTGCTGGCTCTAACCCTATGCTAACACTAACTCTACACTGCCACTAATCCTACACTTAGTTTATTGCTGGCTCTAACCCTATGCTAAGTGTAGGATTAGTGGCAGTGTAGAGTTAGTGTTAGCATAGGGTTAGAGTCAGCAATAGACTCAGTGTAGGGGGTCAGTGGCAGTGTAGAGTTAGTGTTAGCATAGGGTTAGAGCCAGCAATAGACTCAGCGTAGGATTAGTGGCAGTGTAGAGTTAGTGTTAGCATAGGGTTAGAGCCAGCAATAGACTCAGTGTAGAGTTAGTGTTAGCATAGGGTTAGAGCCAGCAATAGACTCAGTGTAGGGGGTCAGTGGCAGTGTAGAGTTAGTGTTAGCATAGGGTTAGAGCCAGCAATAAACTCAGTGTAGGATTAGTGGCAGTGTAGAGTTAGTGTTAGCATAGGGTTAGAGCCAGCAATAGAATCATTGTGGGGTTAGTGGCAGTGTAGAGTTTGTGTTAGCATAGGGTTAGAGCCAGCAATAGACTAAGTAAAGGGTTAGTGGTAGTGTAGAGTTAGTGTTAGTATAGGGTTAGAGTTAGCAATAGGGTCAATGTAGGGTTAGTGTTAGTATAGAATTAGTGTTAGTAAAGGGTTAGAGTTAGCAATAGGGTAAATGAAGGTATAGTGTTAGTGTAGGATTAGTGCTAATATAGAGTTAGTGTTAGCAATAGGCTCAGTGTAGGATTAGTGACAGTGTAGGGTTAGAGTTTGCAATAAGGTCAGTGTAGGGTTAATGTTAGTATAGAATTAGTGTTAGCATAGAGTTAGTTAGCAATAGGGTCAATGTAGGGTTAGTGGCAGTGTAGGGTTAGTGTTAGTATAGGGTTAGAGTTAGCAATAGGGCCAATGTAGGGTTAGTGTTAGTATAGAATTAGTGTTAGTATAGGGTTAGAGCTAGAAATAGGGTCAATGTAGGGATAGTGTTAGTGTAGGATTAGTGCTAGTATAGAGTTAGTGTTCGCAATGGGCTCAGTGTAGGGTTAGTGGCAGTGTAGGGTTAGAGTTTGCAATAAGGTCAGTGTAGGGTTAATGTTAGTATAGAATTAGTGTTAGCATAGAGTTAGAGTTAGCAATAGGGTCAGTGAAGGGTTAGTGGCAGTGTAGAGTTAGAGTTAGCAATAGGGTCAATGTAGGGTTAGTGGCAGTGTAGGGTTAGTGGCAGTATAGGGTTAGAGTTTGCAATAGGGTCAGTGTAGGGTTAGTGGCAGTGTAGGGTTAGAGTTTGCAATAGGGTCAGTGTAGGGTTAGCGGCAGTTTAGTTAGGGCAGTTAGGGTGAGTGCTAGCATTAGGTCTGGGTTATAGTTAATGACGGGTTATTGTTAGGGATAGTCTAGGGATAAAGTTACAGGTAAGGTGGAAGTAGGTATAGGGTTAGAGCTAGTATAAGCGTTGGATATGTATTGGGTTTGGTGTTGGATTGGTATAGGGTTAGCGTTTACCACCAAAACCTAATTTAAATATTAGACAAATGAGGCATTTCACAATCAGAATTGATTAGTGAATCTATGTTGAAAGTTTTTTTTTACTTGCTCTTGATTTGAAAACACAAATGTATTAAAAGCAAAATTGTTACAAATGCTTTTTATTTTTTCCCAGTTTAACATGTTATTCATACTGTGGGGTTAGGTTCTCATACAGGGTATTAAAATAAAGACATTTATATATAGCAATATATAATATGTATGACTGCACTTAAATAGAAACCTTTAAATTAAGTGGAACAGCACAAATTCTAGGTTTTGTTTCAGTTTAGAAGTTGGAGAATTGCCTCCGACCTTAAGGGGTTATTTTATGTTGTATTGTATATATAAAAAATATGTTGGTGAAAAATGCTCTTACAACAAATATACAACGTTTTAGCCAGTGAAATAAATACAGTTCATACTCTCATTGTAAAAAAACTGTTTTGTATATGCTGAGTAATTCAAACTCCCATCTTTAGTCTTAATTAGTTTGAGATTAATTCTTTCCATTATCATTAGTTATAAATTGAGTTGTCTTCAAGTTGGGCAGGCATATATATGCTCAAGCCTCTACACTATAGCACAAGCAGTAACTGATTATAACATTTATCACATCAGGTAATTTGCATTTACAATTACCTTGTATTTGACAATAGTAACTGTTGGACATGCAAGATATTTTCTGTACTTGTTAGTTACCGTACAACAGATAATATTCTATTAAACTCACAAAATGCCATTAATTAGATTTGTGAATTCAGTTTCTCCTAAATCACAATTCATCCCAGTTGGCAACTTGTGCATAACTCTGAAATAACACATGGATTAATCATAAAACAAATTAAATGGTTAATGGACAAACTGCTTTCTAATTCAGAGTTGTGTCCGTGATGACAAAAAAAGATGTTTGAAAGGAACAAAGATGATTGACAGTTTCAGGACAGCCACTAGATGTTCTGTTCACAGAATAAAATGTGTAGGGGCAAAAAAAAGGAGGATCAGTAAAATAATCTACATTTATATATTATGCCGTTTTATGGATGAACTAAATCAATCAAAAATGCACCTGTCAGTGTAGTGCAAGCTATATAAATGATATTTATTGTGCAGTACACTGGACATTTACTGCACTGTTTGTACAACCGAAAAGGTTGTTTTCTGGAACTATTGCATGGACCACCTTTTTTCAAACCAAAACGTCATAGTAGGAATGGATTTCGGACCACCCGAACATAATTTTTTTTTTTTCTCAGAAAAATTGATTCATATCTACCAATTTATTTTTCTCTACATTTCACAAGTCTACTGTTCATACACATAATTATGATATTAGTGCAAATAGCGACACTATATTTACTAACTATGCTATCCATCCATCCACACAGCTGTACAGTATCGGACAAGGCAGTTCTAAAGTATAAAAAGCACGTGTCTATGCTTATATCTTTTTTTATACAGTGAGCTGAAAGACTTTAATTCAATTAATTACAGGTCAATTACTCTGCCCAAATCCTGTTTGAATTTCCAGAAAAAAATTATTCTTCTGTACTTGGAACATGCCAGCTACATTGTCCAGATGAAGAAAGATGGTATTACTAAGAAAAAACACATTACCTCATTGTTTTTATTGATTGGATTGAACCTTTTAACATATGAAAGAAAACAAATATATATATATATATATACTCCCACCAGAATCACTACAAAGCATGCACAGTGTTTGTGAACATGAGCGTATACCCAACCAAAAAAACATAAATCTTGATATGTAATATTTAACATTACATCAGTGGAAATTCTACAATAACTCATCAAAAAGCTTTTAGGGAAGTAGATAAACCTAGAATCAAAACCTTTAACTATGATGCCGATGTGTTTGACTTGCTGCGGTTGAAATGTAAGATTACATTGTACCAAACCAATTTTTCTAGTAATACTCTGTCTACCTCTGCAGGCTGGTGGAACAAGCTGGGGTTATTATGAAAGCACAAAAAAATAAAGCGACATTCCACAGCCTAAATGAAAATAAATAAAAACATAAATATAACTGTTTTGTAGATATGCCCTGTGATGAATGCCCCTTGGCCTGGACGTTCACCATGGGCTCTTGGAGGAGTGTGGAAGCTAGCATACTGCCCACTGACTATGGGCCATGGAAAAGGCTTACAAACAGACTTCGTATGTGGGATTTATATGTACTGTTCGGGAACCGAACCAACTCATGAACTGCGGACCACCTCTGGGCTTGTTAACCCCTGGTAACCTCTCCTGACACTTCAGTTATCGTGTGTTCTAATTGTTAGGCAGGGTGGCTGCAGTTCGTATGCACGAACACGTGGGAACTGTGTTGGTGGCCATCTTGTTCGCAGGGAATTCAGACAGCGGTGTTTGGGCGTCGATCACATGGAACTAAAAATCGGACACAGAAACTCCTGAACACCGCTGAACCTTGACGAACGCCTGTTTCCTTCCCACACATGTCAGGAGAGCGCTGTTCGGTAGGTTTGTTCGTATGAACCATACGAACAAACACTACTAATTAGTCAGAGTGTGTGTTCGGTATTTGTTTCGCATTGGAGTTCCCGAAGTTGACCGGCAAAAGCACAAATCGCCCTGGAACTGTTTTGGGCATAGGACCATGTGTTTTTCTTGTCTGCTGCCTTGGCAAGCCCTCCCGTTCTAACCCTACCCAGACTTTCTGTGGCTGTCCAATCACAGACTTCCCAATAAAGCTCAATTAGAAGTCTTTGTAAGGCAGGTGCTCTGGGCAATTGCTGCCTCTTGAGTTTAGCTCCACTGAGCAAACCAGGAAGTAACAGGCCCTATAGACTGATTGACAGGCAGGGGAGTGTTGCAAGGTTAATTTATAAAAGTGCCAATTTCTATTGAAATAAGCACTCTTTGTAATATGTAAACAGAGGACACTCTTCACACACAAAGCTTTACAGCAAGCTGGAGTGCTTTAGGGGTCCTCAGTTTCCCTTTAACCTTCAGTATATAGTATAATGTGATGTGCCAAAGGAAAAGCATACATTAACAGATATATCGATAAATAATTCCATTACACAAAGTTAATCAGTTAAACGTGTATACCTTATTTAAAGCTTTATTTTTAAACTCCAAGGTCCACAATGTTTAGCAACATCTTGGCTTAAAGGTGGCCAGTGTAAGTCTACTAAAAAAAAGTAGTGTAAACAATAGTTAAATAAAACAAATGCCCATACTGGGTCTCTAAAAGGGGGTATAGTATTTTTTGTATACATGTTAAAAAATTTACTAATGTGTAAATTGCTCATAAACTTGATACATTTTTGCGAAGATTCAAACACAGATTAAAAATTATTTGTAAATTGTAGACTTTCTGAAATGAGATGGGGACTATGCAGAGCAGGCAGAACCTCCTCTGTTTAGCCAACAGGATGCTGACGGGATTGTGTGGACAAGTATGATAAGAGAGTTACCTAGCACAAAATTACTTAATGATGAATTGTCACTTTCTCAATTTTAACACAACGCAGCAGCTAACTAAATGTTATCTATAGTTTGAGCTATTTCTTCTTCTCTTT